TAAAAAAAAATAGTAAATTTTGTCCGGAGTTACCCCATTTTACGGTATTGACGATACGACGACCGACCGGAGAACGCGTTTTCCGGACGCGAACGAAATCCGGAGACGCGCGGACCGGACGAAAAAGACCCGCTCCGGGCTATAGCGTCGAGAACGCGACGGAAAGAGGTCTCGAAAGGCCGGAAAACCGGGCGAAAAGCGGAAAAAACGGTATACAAAAACAATAATAATGAGTGATGAGCAAATGAGCGATAACCGAACCGATAACGACGGCCGTTGGAGAAACGATAACGACGGGGAGATATGGGACACGACGACTGGAAGAAAAAAAACGGAATTTTTCGATTGGCCGGGACACTAAAGTGCCCGCGTTCTGGCGGATTTTTCGGGAAGCTCGTTTTGGTTTTATATTATAAGATATAAGTATATATAAGCCCAATTCGAGCGTTTAGTGGTCAGTCATTTCATTAAATTTACAGGTGTAATACACCTTGTCCCGTAGCTTGCCCTGTGCTTTTGTGCATGGAAAATAAATAAATACATTCCGAAATGGTAATTAAATGTCTAACGACTAGCTATTAGTCATCGCCCGGTACGGTAAATGTCGATACCTGACTGGGCAATTGAATGCATTTCCAGTAGCTCGCCCGGTGCTTTTGAATATGGAAAATAAATAAATACACTCCGAAACGACGGGTTGTCATACCTCCTGACGTCGAAGGCGTTGTGCTGTTCAATACGCAAAAAAGTTTAAGTCGAATCGAGTGCTCAATTTTTCAAGCGATTACCATTGAAAATCCCGATGGAGAACGATTTCGCAAAATTTCTGGAATAGTGTTAATTTTAATAGCCACTGATATACATATACGACTTCGCACATTTTATATGTATATTTATTTACGATTCTGCATAATTTTAACCCTTCGTTAGGCGCGAGGTATATTGTCACTCATTTAGGCGCGTGGTCTACATTTGTAGACCATTTTAATTTTTAACCAATTCAATTAATTTTAATTATTTTTGTTTATATTTACAATGTAAATTACTTGTATGCATATAAAGAGTCATATGAGCATTGAAATATCCAAAATAATCTATAAATATTTGAAGAAAATATAGTTATCTTGTTTATAGTGAAATTATCATAATTTCTTTCATGACATTTTTATTTTTAGAACTACTTACCCAATTACTATCCAATCGGTCTGAAACTATAGATATCTTAAATTGACATGTTTACAAAAAACCCGAAACAAAATTAAAATGTATTTTTATATTTTTTTACCAGTTATCGTCGAACAAATATAGGTATTATAACTGTGATTTCATTATGGAAAATTATAGTGTATATTAGTTTTGATGCTTATTTCTCTTGGTAAACATTTCCTCTTGATAACTAAATTACATAATATTGATATGAAGTATAATTAAAGGACTATGAAACAAAAAAATCATTTTTTTTATTATAACAAAATCAAATAGTGCGTGGAAAATAAAAAGTTTCGGTAGTTTCAAAATTTTTATCTGACCACAGGTTCAACGTAAATTCATCAGTTTTGTTTTACGTGTGACGTCACTGGTGCGCCGCCCGTCAACCACCACACTGTTATAATACGTATATTACTTACGGGCACGCGGCACTACACAGACACACAGTTAGTAATCAATTTGAAATAATATTTATCTAAGAAACACTTAAACAAATATGAAATAATAATAGGTTTATTGATACACGTATATACAATTAAGATACATTATTATATTATATTATATCGAGATTTTTATGCTGTTTTCCTGTTTTATATATTTTAATCTTCATTTATCAAATAATATATACGTAATGATAAAAAATGGCCCAAGTTGCCGATACTTAGTTAACAATGAAAAATACATTTTACTTACATATAATTTTATTTTCTAATATTATTTCTAAGCTTAAACTTATTTTTTACATACCTTTGTAATATGATATAGTAGGTATATCAAAAATAGAAAATTAACTTATTTTTAAAAAACTTAATTATTTACGAGAAAATCTTGAATATTTCGTTTTCATTAAATCTTCATAGTTTGGTTTTGGTTGAGGTGCTATTGTTTGAGGTATTGCTACAGTCTCAAATTCTGTTATTGTTAGTGTTATTTCTTTCATTTTTTTTTTTATTTCTGACATAAGTATATGACGCCACTCGTCATTACCATGTTCATATTTGGTTTTTAAAACATATCGTCCAGCAGGTTTTGAATATACCATTTTGTCACCCAATTCCTTTTTATTTATATTATGATTATGGTCTATAATGGCAATCATACTTCTCATGTGCATACCTTTATACTTTAAATGAATTCTTTTTGGCATATATTTTAAACGTAAGTTATGGTATGACTCTAATCGACCAGTGTGCACGAAGTTCTTTGCATGTTCCAAGTCCTTTAGTAAATCTTTTGACATAATGATTTTCTTCAAAGCATAGTATGACTCACTATCTGGATTTAACCATAATTTTGATCTAATTTCATTTTCTGTTAATTTTTCGTGTTGACATTGTTTTTTATTACCATCTTCAACCCATTCATGCTTATTAGAAATGTGATATAATACAGAAATAAATTTATCGACTAACAATTTTCCATTTCCTTCACATGTTTGGGCAGACCACCAAAGATGGTTGTTTATTGAAGACTTCCATAAAAATGCATCAGAATACTTTTTTTCCAATGGTTTAAATCTCTTCATCAAGCTTTTACTCAAATGCCATATATCAAATTCGTGCATAATTTTTGGATGTTGTGTTCGTATATATTTACGAATTCCTTTGTGTCTATCTGTAAGTAACAATTCAATTTCACAATTATATACATTTTTTAACTCTGTTAGTAGTTGTTCACAAGCTTGTCTTTCTAGGTCACCTTTTATTTGGCCCTTTTGAACCAATTTAAAATCCATAATTTTGCCAGAGTGAATATCCATTACAGAGTATGTACAGTATTTTGCACAAAATCCAGGCGAGTCGAATTGACCGTCCCCTGCCAGCCAAATAGGTAACTCAGAAGACATAATACTATTAATATTTGCATTTTTGTGTTCTTGCCATTGATGACATACAACAGGGTACACGTATTTATATTGATAATTTTATCAAACACCGGACGGGTAAACATTGAAAGTTTTATAGCTGTACAAAATGCTTTGAACTGATTAAACAAAATTCCAGATAATGTAAGAGCACTACCTATCAAAATATTTCCTTCCGGTCTTTTGTTAACTTTCGGCTGAGAATACCATTGTAATCCATGACCATTTTCACACAGTGTAGAAACTGAAAGTAGCGCACCTTGAATAAAATATTGTTTTGATGTAACTTTGCCACTACATTGGCGACAGTGTGTAAAAAGTTCTAATAGACAGTTCCAAAACACAATGAAACAAGAATTATTTTCAAAATTATTTGTTGTAGTTAATGATAATCTATTATTTTTACTACTTGAACTACAGTTAATATCAGCTTCACTATCTGAAGAACAAGATTCATCACTGGATTCTGATAAATCGAATGATAAATCATCATTTACTTCTAAATTTGTATAAATATCTTTTCCAATTTCACACTGTACACTCTTATCATTTGGATTAATTTGTTCATCTAAAATATCTGTATCTAAACTAGTGTCACTAAAATTAATCCCATCATAGTTTTCTACTAGCATCGATTTTTCTGGTGTACTTGATTGAATCAAACTTGCAGTCTCTGTGTAATACCTACGTTTTACTCTTAAATCACGTTTACTTGGTAATAAATCAATTGTTTCGGATCGTAAAGTGGGTATTACTCCAGAATTTAAATTAATTCTGACTTTAGTATTAGGCATCAATTTTTTTCTAAGAACATCAGATTGATTAAAGTCTTCAAGTTTAAAATGTTTGGAACACAACCTAGAATTTTTGGATGGCCTAAAGTTTTTTCGTTTACAAAAATCTATCCATTTTTTGTGTCTGTTTGGTGATTTTTCACGATTTGGAAATCTGTAGAAATGTAAACGTTTCGAACTTTCATCACTTTCAGAGCATCCATAAGCCGAACAGAGAGGCATTTTTAAACCTAAATTATGATAAAAATTACTTCAAGATTATTTTTACCAATAGAGTAATATATTATGAATTATGATCAAACAAATTGAAATTAACTATGAATAATTGTATCAATTAAAGTAAACAACGTTCTAAAAATATATTTTGTAAAACTGGCGTTACGAAAATAAACACAGATAATAATATTATATTACACACAGTCAATAAGCGTCGTTGCTAGTCGTCGGCGTGTCATCAATAACGCTCCCTACAGTGCATATTTGTGACCATCGTGTATAAATTGTTATATTGTATATTATTTAAAAGTGAATTGGAAAAATGAGTTTACAGCCTTATTGTTTTGAACCTACTCTACAAGATATTGATGAAACAACGTTAGAAACAATATCGGTTAATCCGTTAGTGGCGATTAGTTGCAACGAAAGAACAAGAAAGGAAATCAAAGATTGGTGTTTATGCAAGAAATATGACAACTGATAAAGAATGTGTTTGTTGTTTCGAATTTGACAATTTGATTAAATTGCATGGTAAAAAAAATTGTATAACTAACATTCCATCTTTTCGAAAAGTTATTATGGACGAGGAAATTCTCAACATCACCAGGCATCAAATGATTATTAAAGCTCGTAACAGTAACAAGAAAAACATGCTTTCAAGTCCATGTCCCCAGAATAAAACTTGGAGATTTATATGCTATAAACAATTTATTCACTGGATAAACTCATGGTCATCAATAGGCAAAGGTATATTATAATAATTAAAAAATATTTTGTTTATATAGGTTGTTTTAATGAATTATTTGCGGACCAGTAAATTGTAATAATTTCTACAGGTAATCGAATATGTATTCCAGCATGTGTAGTGAAAGCGATTCGAAAAAAATATCCAGAAAATAATGGAAATTACGTTGGCTTCAAAGAAAACAACAAACTCCCAGAGTAACATCATATAAAATAAAAATTAATTAATGTTTTCTATAATATATTATATTATAAGCTATAATTATATAGACATAATGTAAACTCAATTACAAATAAAAAACACAAAATATCACAACATTAATTATAAAATATTGCTATTATAAAAAACTAAAGTCTTTATGGTAATATTTAAATTTTATTCTTTCCTAGTACCTACCTACCTATTAGAAGTATAAAACCACTAACCAGTATAAAGTAGTACGTCGTCCGTGTCCGTGTGTAATATTATATAATGCAAATACTGATATTCGTGTGTACTGTGTACACTAGTAATTATTATCATGCATTAATAGTAAAAATAATACTATTATTTGCGTCGCAGCGTGGCGCGGAGTGTGGACTGTGATGATCGGAGACGGCAGCGACGCGCGGCGGCGGCGCACCAGTGACGTCACACGTAAAACAAAACTGATCAATTTACGGGGGAGCTATGGTCAGATAAAAATTTTGAGACCACCGAACATTTTTATTTTTCATGCATTATTTGATTTCATTAAAATTAAAAAATATGACTTTTATTCCTTTCATGGTCCTTTAACGAATTTTATAGCACATATGAAATAACATGTAATGACCCAGTATATATATTAATAATAATAACATATTTATACAAATATTATAATAGTGTAAAGATAAATAAAAATAATTATTAATTCATACTTTTCTTTTAATTTACGAAATATTCTATATATATATAAAAAAAAAAAAATTCCAAGTATTATAAAAACAATTTATTCATTTAAACAATTTACACAAATATCCTTCATATGCACTTTACACGCATATTTTCGGCATTGGCCACAATATCTTCTGGTTGATTTATTTTTATTTCGTGGACATACATAACATCGACCCACTTAATTTGGAAGATTTTCTGGTATTATTGAAATTGAAGGCTCTTCGATACCTAGAAGTGCACGTGGTCTTAATTCTACTGATAGTTAAGTAATCGTTGATCTATACTCCATTTGAGGTTTCATTAATTCCCATGCAATATTTTGAATAAATTGGCTTCTTGACATTTTTGAATTTAAATTGTTTGCTTTGTATATAACAAATAGCATTTAAAGTAGATATGTTCAGTAGATCATAAAAATTACCATTGGCCATCTACGAGTATTCCTAGCCTCATTGTATTTTTCACATAGTTGGTCTACTAAGTCAACACCGATCTTAGTTTTATTATAAAAATTAATCATTTCAGGTTTTTTTGCATGATTTTCTTCGTCAATTGTGTCGTCTAGGGTGGTCCTTATTTTTTTTTTTAAATTTAGTCGGGCTACCCATGGCATTTTTTAAAAACCATAAAAAAAATGAATTGTGTAAAGTTTTGTAATAATTGGTTTACCCTAAGGCGTGCCTCAAGAGGGTTGAATTTAAAATAAGGGTGCTTTTTGATTTTTTTTAAATTTTAGCCTAAGGTTAGGTTTATTTAAGATAGGCAAAAAAATACAATAACAAAATATTTTTTAAATTCTATATCCTATAAAAGTTGTTACTTGTACTTTTTTCAATCAACTACTCATTCGCCCACAAAATTACAAATACTCGTTTTTATTATATAATAATGTATTATTTAATAATAAAAATAACGTGTTGCCTATATTTAACATTTTTTACATACATAAATACAATACATAATGAATTAATGAATAATAATTTATAATTTAATATAATATTTGAATTTATGTAAATCAAGTTAAACATCGCAATTAAATATAAAACATATTTACAAAATACCAGACATAAATTACATAATTAAATATCATTTTTTAGTGTATTTTTTTTAGCATCAGGAAATCTTTTCCGGTAATCATATATGGTCTGAATTAAAAATTGTTTTTGGTCCTCGTTTTTAGTGATTAAATTATTAAAATCACTAATCAATTTTACTCCTCGTTCTGCTGCGTCGTTTACAACTTTAAGTTAGTAAATTTATTAAGACCTTGTATCAAATGCTGATTGTTATTCCATAATTCAGGATCTTTATTTAAAAAATCGGTTTTAATATTAAACCGATAAAATAATTTTAATGATGAGCTGTTGATAAAATCACTAATACATTTAAATTTCAATGAGTTCAAGTTTTTGATATCAATGATGAAACGATTAACATTATTTTCACCGGTGTCAATTATTGTATTTAGTGCTTTTACCATTTTTTTCTTTTCTAATAAAGGAACATTTATATCGAAAAAAGCAAGTGCTGCTGTTTCAGGACTTAAGTACCACAGATGTCCACACATTTTTTTTAATGCGACAAAGAAAACTTTTTGATCAATATTTTCATATTCAATTAAACTCTGAACAAACATGAGATCTTGATATGGCGCTTGAATTGCTATATGAGCTCCAAACCAACTTTTTATGTAAATAGAAATAATAAAAATGCATGTTTCTTGACATGCCTTTTGTTGACGTGTTGACATTTTAAATTGGTTTCGAAATATGAATATTTTTAGGCAATATATTGCCTTGGCCATCAACCTAGCATGATGGGAAGCACCTGGAATACGAAATGATATTCCACGATGTGGAATTCCTCCGAGAAAAATAATCGTAAGTTCTAGTAGTTCCCTATAGTCTTCACGAAATTGTTTTTTTATTGAATGATCAAGAGCAAACTGAAGTATATCATTTTTTGTGTGTGATAAAGCCGTACAAACACTACTATCTTCAATGCCCGGGTTATAATTATTAGTATTTAATTTGCTCCAGTATTCTTGAAATTTTTTAAAAAGTGGAATATTAGGCCCTGATGTAATGCCAAATTTTTCTTCAAATACACACCTCAATACTAATTCATAGATATGATGACGGCACATAAGATATAACATATCTTTTTTGAGACGTTGCTCTAATAAGACACACGCACCATTCAAACGACCAGTATTAGATGCTGTAGTATCACAACAAACTGCAACAACTGAATCACTAATCCCCCAATTAATTAATAACTGAAAAACGTTTTCAGTCTGTTCTTCTCCAGTTCCATCCAATAACTTAGGAACCCCTAGAAGTTTCTCGCGTCCTTCACATGAAATTAGCACTGGCAGTCTTTTCACTAAATCTTTACCAGTTAATGAAGGTAACATTTTTTCATCCCAATGTACAACAGATTCATTAAATAAATCATTATTAAAACTTGAGCGTAGTTGTTCTGCTCGCAGTTTTCGTACTTTTTCATGAACCCGGTGAATCGACGAACGATTTATTACTAAATCATCAACATTATGTTCTAATGCCTAAGCCGTGGCCATTAATTATGAGTTGCATCTCTGTCACTTACCTTGCATCTATCTAATACAGTTACAAGTTTATCGTTGATAAATTGTGTTCTTCCTCGTTTATTAGTTGTAGTTGTTTCATAAGATTCTTCACCAATTTCCATAACAATAGAGTTGGTTGTATCTTGTATATTTTGGCTCCACGTACAGTCTTCAGACAAACTTTTTTCCGTATCACTTGTAGAATATAGTTCCACAGATTTAACTTAAACAGTATTTGTTTATTATATTAGCTATAATTGAAAGTACCTATTTTCAACAAATTACAAAAATAGTAAAATAAGAAATACTTACAAATAGATTTCATTTTGCTTTCATTAAGTTTTCTTTTTTTTTCAGATTCTTCCAATTTTTTAGAGTGTTTAAATTCTCTTTTTTGACTTATCCAAACGACACCCATCAATGCTCCTGGACGACCTTTTTGTCTCTGATTTCTTAAAAACTGTTTGTCTATATCAGTAGTCATTATATCTAATGCATCTACATGAGCAATATCAAAAAGGTCATCAAAACATTGTATAAACTCATTTTCATTTTTAATCTGAGTGTTTGTTCGGCGACTCGAATTTTTCTGCAAACTCCGCCATGTATTATACAACTCTTCTAGCTGTGGTACACAATTACGAACCTCCCTCGTAGGTATTCGAGCTTTTTGCCAAAAAATTAATGTTTCGTCTATCACTAACCGCGCACTTTCACGTACGCTTAACTTGACTTCTCGAATGTTAAAAAATAAGACCGATAAAACTTGTTTGTTTGATGGTAACTTACATCCAACAAGTTGATGAGAGCTATTACCAGTTAAATAAATACGTTTACGAATATTAACTTTACTTTCCATTTTTAAAATTAAAATTAAAATCAATGCGACTGTTTGTTAAAGATGCATTGACAATTATAAACTGATCCATAACAATATAAATGTTATTTATACATAGTAAAAAAAAAATAATATAAATATACAAATAATGTAGCTAAAACCTGTAATGACGTGTCTAATAGACCTATTAAGACACATATAATATTTGAAAAATACATGTCAACCGTGGTATCCGGCGTGGATGTAATAAAAAAAAAAAAAACGCGTGATCAATGTTGATAATGCGAGTAGGTACGAATAGACGCCAGTATAGACGTGTTAAAACATGTATACTTAATATCACACAGTTTTCCATTAATTAATTAATGTATATTAATATGAAGCATTTGCATTAGCCAGTTTAACATTGGACTATATTTTAAAAGCTATTAAAAAATTTTATGTGGTTATGACGTGGTTAAATTTGTGAACACGAAGTACATTTGTATGAACTAAACATATGAAATATACTAAAAACGATTTTTGTTATTTTGTGGGCGAATGAGTAGTTGATTGAAAAAAGTACAAGTAACAACTTTTATAGGATATAGAATTTAAAAAATATTTTGTTATTGTATTTTTTTGCCTATCTTAAATATTTTAGGCTAAAATTTAAAAAAAATCAAAAAGCACCCTTATTTTAAATTCAACCCTCTTGAGTCACGCCTTAGGGTTAACCAATTATTACGAAACTTTACACAATTCATTTTTTTATGGTCTTGAACAAATTCCATTGGTAGCCCGACTAAATTTAAAAAAAAAAAATAAGGACCACCCTAGTGTCGTCATTGTTTATACTTGACACAACTAATACAGCTTTATTTTTTTTGGGACAATATGACACTAATGTATAATCTTCTTGAAATCCAAAAATCGAGCTTTGCATTTCTCTATTTTTATTTGGTAAAAATTCTGACGGTAGCTCTCTTTTATTTTTTCTTATAGTGCCTGTATATATTAATTTTTTATTGTGTTTTAATTTTTTTATTAGTGGAAAACTTGTAAACCAGTTGTCAGCAGTAATATTTCTGTTACTTCCTTCTACTGGTTGTACAAGTCTAAGAACAATATTTTCACCAGAATTTTTACATTCATATGGCCCTTCGGGTTGAGTACCTACATAAGCTTCAAGATTAATTATATAAGCTGTTTTGGCATCAACTAACGCAAAAATTTTTAATCCCTACTTGGCCGGTTTGCTTGGAATGTATTGTTTGAATGAACAACGACCTCGAAACGCTAATAATTGTTCATCCACCGTTAGATATTCACTTGCTATAAAATTATTTTGAAAATTCGCAATAAAGTATTCAAATACTTCTCTTATAGGTGCTAATTTGTCGATTGCTCTTCTGTCATTTCTATTATTTATGTCATCAAAACGGATACATCTAATTAAAAATCTGAAACGTTTTTCACTCATTACTAAATAACATGCTTCAACTCCACTACCTCTAGAATTATCCCAAATTTGATGAGTATTTTTCTCGCAGACCTTAAAGCCCCAATCAAAAATAAAATTCCAATAAATTAATTAATTTCTCTCTCATCAGTCAATCTAGCGTCAAATTCACGTTGGAAATTTGCTTTTATACCTTCAATGTATATATTTATCGAAATGGTGATTAAACGAATTACATTTTCGTTTATAAATAATTTTAAACAATCAATTTCAAATTTGGCGTTACGTGCATTTTGTTTAGGACCAAGTAAATGTGTAATAATATTATGGGAACGTTATCAAATTTGCATATTTGGTTTATTTTTCTTCCATTTGGTGGTTTTGTCTTTTCTCAAATAAAAGTTATTATTCTGAACATCGTTTACATTTTCATTTGTTTCATTTTCCGATATATCCTACTCCGATTCTGATTCGTGATCACTTTTTTGAGTAGTATCAATTTCTTCATTATCACTTTCATCATCCATTTCACTCATTTCATCACAACTTGATAACTCATTAACCCAATTTTCAACAATAGATGGGTCAAGCGTTGAATCCACACGTCTTTTTTTCGTGAAGACACAATTTATGTATAATTATTACTGTTATTACTTATTATTATATACCTTCAAAATGCATTAAAATGTTTACGTATACATATATTTTTACATACTGTTTATGTTTCGTTGAAATTAAAAATATTAAAAACAAATGTACCTAATTACAAAAAAAAATAAGAATTTTACAAATTTAGAAAAAATACAACTTAGTAAGTCGCGCGGTCTACAGTAGTAGACCACTCATAATATTGTTGATATGTTTTTTTACAACAGTTGAATCAAACAACAAACGTATCAGATCTCCTAATGAAATATCACCTGTCTCAAAAACAACCGATCCAAATATATTCATATCACCAAATAGATTTGCCCCGATCTCACCCATTATTGAAGACGACCCAATGGACAACACAACTCAGCAAATCTCGGGAAAAACCAATCAAACTTCGAAGCCACCTCCTATATTTATACAAGCGCAATTAAATTTCAACTACTTTTGCATTAAAATAAAAGAATTAACCGACTCCTCTGGATTCGATTGTAAAAGCTCTACAAAAGATCTTAAACTACAAACATATAGTTTGACTCGTATAGAACAGTGATCAAATATCTTAAGGAAAATAACGTTTCTTTTCACTCGTTTCAATCAAAAGAATTAAAACCTTATCGTGAAGTAATTAGAAACTTACATCCTACTACCGATATTTCCACTATTAAAGATGAACTATTAAACAACGGATTTTACACCAGAAATATAATGCCTGTCACTCATAAGCTAACTAAGACTCCCCTACCAATTGTCTTTATTGACTTAGAACCAGGACCAACCAACTCCGACATTTTTAAAATCACATCACTATGTTACACGAAAGTCAAAATTGAACCTGCCCATCCGAAAAAAGATATTCCTCAATGCCATCGTTGCCAGACGTACGGCCACACTCGTAAATACTGCAATCACACTTCTCGTTGTGTTAAATGTGGCTTAGAACACGAATCAATTGATTGCACTAAGAACCGGAGCACCCCTGCTAACTGTGCATTATGCAACGGTAGTCACCCAGCTAACTATAAAGGGTGCCAAACTCACATTTACTTGAAAAAAAGTTAGCACAATCTAAAAACAACACCAGGAACAATAATCAACAAACCTCAAAAGACATTAATCAAGATCTTCATCGTCCAACGTACTCACAGAGTTTTCCTCCACTGAATAAAGAATCTTCTCCTCATCCCCAAACCAACAACCCAAATAAAAACCTAGACCTCTCAACTCAACTATCTTTATTTATAAATTATCTAAAAGCACTAATCAATCCACTTGTGTCTCTACTTACCACTGTCATAGATAAACTCATTAAAAATGTCAACTAATAACTTAAAACCACTTACCATATTATTATGAAACACTAACGATATTCTCCAACATCTAAATGAATGAAAAAAAAATCGAAATCGCACTTATTTCTGAAACCCATCTTACAAAATCTTCTATACTCAAAATATACGGATATGAAATAATTAGAGCAGATCACCCAGACGGAACGGCGCATGGGGGAGCTGCACTTATAATCTCCAACCGAATTGAACACTCCCCCTGCCACCACATAGGAGCATCAATATTCAATCAGCTAGTACAACCTTAAAAATAAACTCGGTACCTATATCTATAGCATCCTGTTACTTCCCCCTAGGAATACTATTTCCTATAACTGAACTCATCATTCTTCTTCAATCTCTCAGTCATAGCTATATAATAGGCGCTGATTTCAATGCCAAACACCAAACCTGGAGCAATTCCACCAACACCAGAGGCCGCGCGCTATACAACCTTGTTACACAAAAAAATCTCAAACTCTTATCAAGCACCACTCCGACTTATTGGCCAACTCATGCTAATCGTCATCCAGACACCATTGACTTCTTCATTTCTAGCATCCCAAATCGTTTTATCACACACGTTACAAATCTAAACGATCCAGCGTCTGATCATACCCCAGTACTACTTCACATAGGAGCATAATAGGACCCCTATTGAAACAAAATCGACCAACCATCACTCCTGGAATCACAAACTGGAACACATTTAGAAATATACTCTCAAAAAAAAAAACTATACTTAATGTTAAGTAAAAATCTTCAGCTGATATTGACAGCGCAAGGTTAGGTTAGAATTTTTCCACGTACTGAAATAAAGTAAGTTTTTTTAAGCTAATCAATAAAACAAAATCATACTTTAAATTATATTTTATATAATTATTTATTTATATTCATATATTTTTTGTTCAACATAATCTGTAGTTAATTAAAAATGCCGAAAAAAGAAGATCCTGTCTTTAATACACTATTAGTTGAAGCAGTAGAAAAATATCCATGTTTGTACAATTATAATATAAACGAATATAGCAAACGTGAGTCAACCCAACTAGCTTGGGGAAGTATTGCTAAAGAAGTAAACGATACAGTTTAGTGTTAATATAAATAACTATTTTGTATTGTAAATATTATAATTATTATTATTGATATATTTTAATATTGTAGTATGTAAAAAAAGATTTTTTAAAAATGTAAAAACAAGTTTGGGAACATCAAATTGGGTATCTTGTTATTATTTATATCACTTACAAAATTATGTTGATAATCAATTAGCTACTGTATATAACTAAAAATATGTTTAATATTATAATAGATACTAAATGTTTTGTTCAACTGTGTATTTCCACTGCCACGGTAATGAAACTTCTGGTCTTAAAAAATAATTTGATAAATATTCTCGCACAGAATTTGCTGTCGATAAATTATGAACTGCTTGTTGGTGTTGTGCTAAATGCTGGGGAATATTAATTTCATCTTGCTTGTTCATGTTTTGTGATTCATATAACTTTCCCTCAGTTTTACGTATGTAATTGTGAAGAGCACAGGCACATTTTACAATAGATATTACAGTTGACTCAGAACACGCGATTGGTGTTTCAAAAACTCTGAACTTGGAAACCATCATTCCAAAGGCGCATTCAACTGATTTTCTACCTCTACTTAATCTGTAATTGAAAATTCGTTTTTGATCGTTTAAAGTCTTCTGTGGATATGGTCGTAGCAAATAAGATTTTAAAGGAAAAGCTTCATCCCCACAAAAATAAGATGAAAAATTGGGACCTTCGTTGTCGTATGGTAAAAGTTCTGATTGTGGAATGTTCATTCCTCCAATTTCTAACCATCTACCCAAACGAGATAATCTAAACACACCTGCATCACTATTTCTACCCAAATCTCCAATATACACAGTGATAAAACAGCCGTCTGCATCTGCACAAGCAAATAGTTGTATTGAAAAAAAACCTTTTTAATTAAAATTTCTTGATCCCGTGTTATTGAATTGTTTTATGCGTATGTGTTTGCCGTCGATTGAGCCCAAACAATAGGATAGTTGTCATAAGAGATCATAACGTGCAGCAATATTTTTCCATAGCTCTAAACTTGGTACTGGTAAATAGGTAGGTTGTAGACACTCCCAAATAGCTTCTGTCGTTTCTGCAATTATTTTACCAACGGTTGTCTCACCTCTCATAAAATGTTGAGCCAATGCTCTAAAATTACATCCAGTGGCTAAAAATCTGAAATATTATTTTTTTAATAGACTAATTCAATTTTTTAATATTTTTTAATAATCTAGTTTCAATTGTCAGTGGCATTTTTAAAAATATTTTCCACATAGTCCGCAATGGGGTATACGTCCAAATAATAAACCAATCGTAACGAATTTTTTTTTTGGGGTGTAGATCTGACATGAAGAAGTTAAGAAAATTACTTATTTTGAAAATATGACAAATATCGTTACAATTAAAATATACAGTGTTTTTCACTCAAATGGTAACACGAAATATTTCTGTTCAGCGACCTTGGATTGAATTGGGGTTTTTTCGAGAAGCTAGGGAATACTAAAATACACATTTTGTGATCATTTTCGAATTTTTAATTCTTTTATTGAGCGCATGCGCAATAAAACTTACATTTTTTTTAAATGGCAACACCTATTTTCAACACCAGGTTTCGATAGAACTATTTTTTTTTAAGCAACTTTGATAAACAAACTTTTTTCCTATCTCAAAAATTGACTGAAATACAGCAATCCTAAGTTTAAACAAAAAAGATTTTTGTTACATTTTGCAATGTTCTGTGTTTTATCTTTTTATTATTATTTTTGGTTGGAAATAGCTAAGATAAATGGAATCCATGCGTTTATAGGTTATTTAAATAAAGTTAAACATTTTATTTTTATAATTAAGTTTAAATTTAATTTAAATTATTTTTTAATATATTATTACAAATAATACAAATCACCTAATAAATTGTTCGAAGTTTTCCCCGTTGTTAAGTAAACATGATTGTAAGCGGCGGTTAACTTCGTCTTGAGAAGCTGCCGTTATTTGTTCCTTGGTCAGTTTTGAGCATGCTTCGGTGATTTTTTGTTTTAAATGCTGAAGGTTAATTGGTGGGTCAGCATAAACTACAGTTTTTAAATGACCCCAAAGAAAAAAATCAAGTGGTGTCAAATCTGGTGAACGCGCTGGCCAAGGTATCGATCCATTTGTTCCCATCCAATTATTTCCAAACTGATCGTTGAGGTATTGTCTAACAATAATAGCATTATGTGCTGGAGCACCATCTTGTTGAAAAAACAAGTTTTCTCGAATATTTAAAGGAACATTTTCCAACATTGGTGGTAAATGGTTAGAGAGAAAATCCAAATATCTTCTTCCATTTAGGGTTCCGTCATAAAAGTAGGGCCCTATTATGGAATCTCCTAATATTCTACACCACACATTTGTTCCCCACACTGTTTGGAAATTAGTTTCAAGAGCCCAATGTGGATTATTACTTGCCCAAAAACGGTTATTTTGTTTATTTATCACGCCATTATTGGTAAATTTACTTTCATCTGTCCAAAGAACATACTTTAAAAATTGAGGATTATCTTCAATTTTTACTAGTACCCATGCAATAAATAATAATCTACGTTCACTATCTCCAGCTCGAAGATGGTGAACTAAATCCGGTTTATAGGGGCGTATTTTAAATTTTTTTTAAATTGAATGTACCTTGCGTGGGTTAATTCCAACTTCATTTGCAACATGACGTATGGATGATCGTGGGTTAATTTGAACATATGCCAATACTTGTATTTCAGTTTCTTCGTTAACTTCAGCCTGTGCTTGTGGTATTTGACGACGATTACCTCTATTTCCAAATGAACCATAAGTTCGGATCTGGTTTTCGAGCCTTAAAAAATAATTATGCGCTGGTTGATATCTATTGGGATATCTTTCAGCGTATAATTGTGCGGCTTGG